GGCTGCATTCCCGGGTCCTGGAAGTGACCTGCGACGGGGACAGAGGTGGCCTTACTGCCGTCAGCTCTCCATGCAAGACCTCACCGCTGACCTTGCTGGCCTCCTTCTTCCACTCCTTGGGGCAGTACTTGTAGAGTTTCTGGGCCATGTCCATGTATACGTGCTCATTGTCTGCGTGGGACAGAGGTGGCATCAGCATCCCCACGTGTGTCCTGCATCCCGCCAAGCCCTGCCCCGACCCCACCCTCCCCATCACCTAACGAGGCCACCAAAAGGGTTAATTTGGATGCACCCCCAACCTGGTGGCACCACTTCTTGCTGAGCAACGATGGCATCAGGCTGGACCACCAAACCCACGGCACGAGCCCCTGACTTACTCTGGATGACGCTGAGCCCGAAGAGGTGACAGTCCTTCAGCCTCAGGAGGTCACACACCTGCACCAGTAACTCGTGGCACAAAATCTTCACCTGCAAAAAGAAACACCCCGTGAGTGGTCCTGGCTGCACCTGTGCCCACCTGAGCCAGGCAGGCACCACTGAACCCCTCACTAGAACCCCGAGAAGGATGGGGGGGGGTTGACAGGCTGGGCTGTGGGGTTCAGTTTTCCATGGGGTCATTATGGAAGTCTGCAAAAGCCTGGGGTGCTTTGAAGAGACTGGAGCTCTGCCAGGGATGGGATGCACAGGGGACCATGGGGCAGCTTGAGAGCAGTGGGTGGTGGAGGAGCCCTGCACTGGGGAGGTGGTTTTGGGGGCAGAAAACAGAACATTCATAGAATCATAGAATCCCAGAATGGTTTGGGTTGGAAGGGACCTTAAAGATCATCCAGTCCCACCCCCTGCCACGGGCCAGGGACAACCTTCCCACTAGCCAGTTGCTCCAAGCCTCTCATCCACCTGGCCCTGGAACACTTCCAGGGATCCAGGGGCAGCCACAGCTTCTCTGGGCAATCTGTGCCAGGGTCTCACCACCCTGGTGAGAATTTCTTCCTATCACCTAATCTAAATCTCCTCTTTTAGTTTAAAACCATTCCCCCTTATCCTAACACAATCTGCCAGTGTACAAAGTCGTTCTCCATCTTTTTTTATGAGCTCCCTTTAAGTCCTGAAAGCAATTTCAAAATTTTCCTGCATCAAAAGAAACACCCGGCGGTGGTGAATTAAAAAAAAAAGAAAAAGTGGGGGGAAATTCGCATTCCAAACTACATCCAAACCAGAGCCAAACCCCCTCCTGTTTATTCCCTGGGAGGCTGAATTGCCATCCAGAGTGGGTTGTGGAGCGAGGGCTTGAAGGAGGGGGCTTGTGCCACCCCGTGGGATGCCAAGCAGCAGGTCACCCGCCGACAAACACGCTGCTGCCAGCGGAACATCGAGTCAAGAAGAGGCAGGAGAGCGTAAAACGCTGCCGCAGCCTTAGGGGGAATAACTCCTGTGCATTTCTCCGGCAGGGCGGGAGCAGGCGGGCTCGGGATCAAACCCAGCGGCAAAACCAGAGCGTGCAAATGGTTGCAAGCCCCCGGGTGTGATGAAAATGTCAGTGCTCAGGGGGTTCCCCAGGCCCACACCCCACCCCGCCGTCCCCTGCGCTGCCTTACGTTGATGATGATGTTGAGGGAGTCGTCGTTGGGGAGGAAGATGCAAACGCTGCGTCGGTCCTGCATGACTCTGTTGTTGTGGAAGGTCAGTTTGCTCATCGTGCTCGGGGCTCGGGGGGGCTGGTGGGGGGCACCTCCCCGGCGG